ATGTCGCTGAAGTTCTGGTCAGAATTATTCTTAAAAGTATTGCATCCAAAAGCATGAGGTGTAGTCTGGAATGCTTGTAGGTGATTTGTCACACTTGTTTAGTTCAGTACTTGCTGTCTCCTCTATCTGTTAATACAAAGCCTTCGATAAAACATGGTATAAGACAGCAAACACACACTAATTTACTGGGTCACAGCAGCCCACAGTGTTTGAGTTAAACTGCACTGTAAGGTCAGTAGTCATACAGTGTGATCAGAGCATAGGATAATATGTTCCCCAGGGAGTTTCTTTGAGAATCCCTGTAGGTTTTTTTTCCTCTTGATCTTTAGCATTTGCTGTGTTTATACAAAGCTTTTTGGTTTCCTTGTAGTTTGTTGAAACTGTTGGGAGGGACAGAGTGAGTTCCCTTGGAATTGGCACAGCCATCCCTTCAGTTTGGAAGGCTGGGTATTGCCTCTGCTTGAGTTGACTTGCTTCTGGTCAGCTCAGATCTTGTTTTAAAATATGACATATAAAAATTGCTAATAAATCTTAATAGTGCTCACAGTCAGAAACTCATCAATTGCTGAAAGGATTTGTACGATCTGTTTGCTGGTGAGAGCAGGGACCGTATCTGGAGAGCCAAGAGGTTTTTCTTAGTTACATGTTCCTAGGCTCCATGGCATAACCTGACTATTCCTGTAATCATACTTGTTTAAATCTGTGCTTCTGCAATGGCTCTAGTGAGGAATGGAACCACAGTCTCAATTAAAAAGGCTGTACAAACCCTAAATAACTGAAATAATATTGTACGGTTAATGATCTACTGATGTTTCTGAACTGCTGATACATCTTCCTGTATCCAAGATGCTCCTGGAGGGTACATAAAAGCAAAAGCAACATCTGTGTACGTTACTACTTCCATGGCTGCAACTCCAGAGGATTATTATAGAATTGCTGGACCCTGCACAGCTGCTTATCTGCACGCTGGTAACTTACACAGTTGTGTGCATCCCATTCTCCTATTTGTCTGTCAAGGGTCCTTAAGAATGAAAAAACAAAGGTAATTGATGCCTCATTCTTGAAATAATAGTATTAAAAAAAAATTAAGACCAACAGCTTTAACTGTAACTTAATTATAAATCTTCTTAGAAAACAATTTCCTGGAATATTTGATTGCTGTAGATTACTGTGCTGCCAGAACTTAAGTATTGAATGCAGCAGATGTAACTAAAAAAAGCGATGGATGTGCTAATAGAAGTAGCCATTGTAAAGAGACTTTATAATCTTGCTAATACTACCTGTTAGTGTTTGAGCCTTAAGTTTTCTAGAATCAGATGCGAGAACCTAGGAGCTCATCTCCTGTTAACTGTTTTACATTTTAATTACTTAGTGAAATTCAGTACCAGCACTGGGCACGTTTATTCACTGGTCTCAATGATTAAGCTGCTAAGCTGAAGTCTGATAAACACAAATGTTTACAAGACTATTCCTAGAAGCTCCCTGTATTATAGGTAATTATATATAGTGATAACATATCAATGAGATAAGGACTTGGGTTATATAGAAAACATTTCTAATTTCATCTTAGGAACCAGGAAATATAAAGATTTCAAGGTTTCTTGCAAAACAAAAAAAAAAAGTTAAGTTTTTGGTTACTTGACATGCTGTGCTCCAGTCTAGACTATGTTTTCAATTTTTAACATTGAATTTTGCAATAAAAAGAAATTTATAAATCAGTTTTTTTCAGTGTGGTTTTTTTGGGGGGGGAGATTCTCAAAAGAATACAGGAAATGCATACCAAATACTGTTCAAAATATGCTGTGTTGAGATTGTTTTTTGAGTAGTGAAAAAATCTTCAAAAATTTTGGCAATTTCTGTTAGATATTAAGAATGTTCTACGAAAGTACAGTCTTGGATTATGTATTTATCTTCTTTGGGATTCCAGTGCCAAGTGTTAAAGGTTTGAATTGGAGGGACCTACAGGAAAGCAAACAGCTTCTCAGATGTGGACTTTACAGTGGTCTGTTGTCTTCACAGCTGGATTTGTTAATACTAGCTTAAGGCTAAGGTTGACCTTCAACTAAGATAAACCTTTCTTTCAGGGTAAGTATTGTCAGTGATGACAACCCTTCTGGAGAGCTGTATTGCTGGTGAACCCTGAGGGAAGTAGGTGATGGCAAACAGCTTCTCAGATGTGGACTTTACAGTGGTCTGTTGTCTTCACAGCTGGATTTGTTAATACTAGCTTAAGGCTAAGGTTGACCTTCAACTAAGATAAACCTTTATTTCAGGGTAAGTATTGTCAGTGATGACCACCCTTCTGGAGAGCTGTATTGCTGGTGAACCCTGAGTAGTAGTTCATGCATAAGGGGGAAAAAACCATAATGCTACCACTCACTTTTCATAGCATTTTGCATCCTCTTTGTATTTATGTAGACGACAGGAACTGTAAGCCTAAGGAGCATCACTATTGCGGACTGTTTTTGGGAGAAGCCACTGAGCAGGTCTGCCTCACGATAGCAAAATGACACTATTGACTATTTTGAAGAAAGAAAGATAATGTTTTTCTTACAGGTTTTTTTTTAGTCCCTGGAAGTTGGATTGTCTCCTTGGGCAGCGTGTAGTTAGTAAGGACTTAAGGTTTGCCTTGTTCAGAGGGGTCTGTTACTTTTTTTTTTTTAAAGTAATTTTGGTGTTGCAAACTGGAAGGTACTAGCAAAGGATTTGGATCTGAGACCAATTCTAGTTTAGGATTTCTTAGAGTTGTTCAGAATGTTTGCAAGGCAAATATTGATGCCTCATGTACTACATGCCTCTATCTTTTATATGAAAATAAATATTCTGATTTGGTATACTAATGTAGTCTTGTCTTCTTTCTCTCTGTGTGGCATTAATGGGTAGGAAAGAAGTGTATATAAATACATTGCCTGTGGTGGATGGAGAAACTTATTCAAATACATGCTCTATATTCAATGTGTTGCTCCTACCCAGAATTGTTTACACATTCTTAAAATCTAGATCCTGTTATTTAGGTGAAGTGAGGAGATGGTCAGACCTCAGTGTTGATAACTGACTTCTGGGTCTGATTTTTAATTAGAATTGTTTACACATTCTTAAAATCTAGATCATGTTATTTAGGTGAAGTGAGGGGATGGTCAGACCTCAGTGTTGATAGTCAACAGACCATCAGTGTTGATAACTGACTTCTGGGTTTGATTTTTAATTGGCAATTAAAATTGGCACTTGATTTTTAAGTCAGGTAATTTACTACTTTCTCATCTGTACCCTTGGGGTAAAATTTTTTTTTTCTCCTTTCCATGATAGCCATGGACTATCGGGGAAGGCATGACTTAATGTTTGAACTGTTTATTGACTGAAGCTGGGCAGGTGGGGCCAGGTGTTTTTAAATGAGGAGAAATAGGTAAATAGCTTAGATAAAGCTTGTGTAGTCATGGATGACAGAAATCAGGGTTGTGACAGTGGCACTAACAGAACAGGTGTGTACACTTCACCTGCCTGGTCTGTTCTTCCCTGCTATCAGACTCTTGAACAATGTGCTGGTGTTTCTTGTTTTCATGTCCATTTGGTTGAAAAAAATCGGGAATGAATGAAAATGTAAGCTACCTGTGCAGAGGAAGGAATTGAAAAAGTGTGTTAGTCTTTATCAAGTGCAAAATGAAGCAAGGGAAGGCGTGCAGTGCTCTTGGGGGTAGCTTTGCAGTCACAGGGTTTGGAAAGTATGAAAATAAATACTGCAGCTTTAATGTTATGTGCCCTTTTTTCTTCCCAAGTTCAAGTAATAAAATCTTGCAAGCTATTGATATATTGGTACGTAGGCTGGCTTCAGTAACCTTCCAGCTGCATACGTTAATACACATTTTCAGATAGTTCAGACTACAAACCCAGTAATGTTTTCATGTTTTCAAAAACCCATGTTTTCAAAGTGCACAAAAGCCTCATTTCCTAATGACCGCTAAGTTTCTGATTTCACTCTTGACTGTACTAGTATTCCAAAAGGAGAAAATTGATTAGTGTTTTGGGTTCTTTTTAAGAAGCTCTTTAGCTGTGCCTAATGTTTAAACTGCTGTTACTTTTTTGAAAAAAAAAAACAAAAAAAGGGAGGGGAGGAGCAGATGGTGATTTTGTTTGGTGGGTTTTTTTTTTTCCCCTCTTTGGCGGCTTGAAACTGAAAAAGTAACTACACTTTTACAGCTCCACGAGTCATGGAAATATTGTGTGTGCAAAGTGAGTTCAGCAGCCTTAAATACAAGTGAATGCTAAGTCTACAAATCTGGTAATTCTGTTTACGTGCTTCTAGCAGCAGCATTGCAGGCTCTTTCCATGATCCTGAAGGCTGGAAAGCGGAAATGTGAAACTTCAGAGGGCAGTCTGGTAGCTTTTTCAGGAGTGGTTGGTATAGAATGTTACACACGCAGGCACAAATGCACGCACGGGGAAAACTACATGGTCAGTGGACTTGGATGGGTTAGAAGATTGTAAACCAGTTTGGTTTGTCTTCCTTTGAAAAATGAGGTGTGGGATCATTAGTATGGACCATATTGACCTCCTTCTGTATTGAACAGGCCCCAGACATTTCAGAATCTAGTCTTGGTAAGATAAATCAAAGATTGGATGTTTTTTTTTCCCCTGAAAATTCCAAGTGATGGTGAATCTGCTGCTACCCTTGGTAAATGGGGGTTTGAATTCATTACTGTATTGTGTGGTTTAGAAATAGTTGTTTAGAAATTGTGCTTCACTGTTGAATTCCTGGTTTTTAGTTTACTCAGACCCTTGTAGCTTTGCTTGCTAGCTTGGAAAATCCTCTTTTCCTTTTTTTTCTCCTCCCCTCTGTAAGTAATTTGACTGCAAACAGATCTCCCAGCAGCTTTCTTTTTCATCAGCTAAAGTGAGCTCCTTGTGTCCTCACTGTCTGGCATATTATCTAATCCTGTAATTATTTCTGTGGTTCCTTTCTGAACTTTCTCCAATTTACCTCCTCTTGCTGTTCTGTTCTGCAGGGACCTAGCTTGGAAACACAGATGGTAGAAGATGAAACGGAGACAAGTAGTGAAGAACTGCCTCCTCATCTGCGGGAAGAGCCTCCCGAAGGTACACCACGAGCAGTCTATATAAACTCTTTGCATTAAACTAGGGAAAATGTTTTGGCCAAGGAAGTCTGTCTTATTTATCTGTCTATCTGGCTTGAGAGCCTACCTCTGCCTATTTTCTGTCAATGCTGACAGCTGAACTAACCTCTAAGCCAGAGGTCTAGCCTCTTGCATTCAAAGAAAGCTTCACCTGCTGAGGTGGGGACATAGTTCTGCATTCTCTTTAACAATACGGTTTCTGATTAAAATTGGCCTCCTTGATTATTCACTCTGTAGGCTTAGAAATATAATGCCTCCTCTCCTGTCTTGTTTCTGATGTTTTGAGCCTTCATTAGGGAAGACTTCCGAAGCAGTCATATGTTCTTTCCTTACCTCCCTCTGCAGCATCCTGATATTGAAATTGTCCCCAGCAGAGACTTGTCAAACTTAGGTATTCTAGTGATTTTGTTTCTTTCCGCCATCTCTCTTGGAAGCCAGTTTAGCCATCTGAGGAGGAGGCAGTGAGACGCTGTCAGTCAGTAGGAGGCTCAAAAATGCCAATTTTAATTAAAAGCCTTGTTTGCGATGACATGTCCTGGATTTATACAGGGAACGGATTTTTCCCACTGTGCAAATGTTGCAGACATTCTATATATGCAACAAAATAGGTGTTGCTTTCTTCTGAATAGAAGCTGCTAACATTGCCATAAGTGATGATACGATTTGAACTTCGTCTCCATTTCAGTGACTTTTAAAACACAATCACTCCTAATTGCTGTGGATGGCTTAAACAACCCGGAGAGTGCCGAGATTATTAGCAATTTACTGGTAAAACACCATGGCACGTCTCTAGGAAACATAAATGTGTTTTATATTTTTCCTCTAAGAGAATAGGATGCTGATACAGCATTTATGCTGACAGCCATTCTTAAAGGGAGTATCAACCAAGTTAGATGGTTTTAGGAATTTGCTGCTCCATCACTTCTTGTTGAATGTTCTGTTACAGTTTTCTCGTTAAGTTGTAATTTCTTGTTCTGCTATTTCATGTGCTCTCTGTTGGCAATTACAGTACATAGAGGTAAGTGAAAGTTTCTTTTTGCAACTCCTATAAAGCCAGAAGGAAACAAACATGGAAGATGTTGTGATTACTGTATATATATACACACAGAGGAGATCATCTTGATATTTTTTTTCCTCCCCTTCACCCCCCCTGTAAGTACTGCCAAGTCAGCATGTAATGACAGTGTGTTGTTGAAGAAAGAATGCTGGTCACTAGCCTGAGCAGATGATTACACAAGCCTAGGGACCATATCCTGAAATGTAAAACACAGGACATCATCTTGTCTCATCAGCTGATCCGGAGTAGCCTTAGGTTTTTGAACTATGGCTTTGAATTTTGTAATCAGAAGGGTGGTGGTTTGTTTTTTTCCAGATATGGCTGTTTTTTGCAAACGAAGTTTTTGTAAATGAAAGTATTTGCTTGTGCCTGAAAGATGATGAAAAATGTCGGCATTAATATTGCACTTCCATGACTTGTTGGGTGGGGTGGGAGAAGTGTGTGCTCTAGATATGCCCACTTTGCCAGGGTGAAGAAAAAGAACTGTAACAGTTGAGCTGATGTGATTAAGCAGTGGTACAGCAGGTACTGTGAGTTCTTTTAAAGTCTGAGCTCAGGATGGACTTTTAAAATTTACAATGATGTTAAGAGTAACGAAATAGGAGGGGTATTGAGAGCATAACTGAAACTAGAGACTGGTTGGGAGGAGAGGTGGAAAAATAGCTCCTGAAAGAGGCATCAGGATTATGCTGAATGTAAAGCTGGCTCTGTGTATTAGTGGAGCTGAGGAACAGGAGTCTTCCTTAGAAGCTGGCAAAACCCACAACAGACCAACTGGAATTATTGCAAGGATCAAGTAGGTGCAGGAGTGATTACAAATAACCCATGAAAGAAGCAGATCTCTGAAGTCCTTTTACTATGAAATGCCATTCAGTACTGTCGTCTTGTTCTTGCTCTTCTGCTGTTTTCTGCTTTCTTCTGATAGCGCTTTTCCTAGTTAAATCAAAGGCTTTGCAATAAATAAATAAACCCTGTTGTCATGACTGCTGCACTCTTGTTTCCTGGGATCTGTGAATTGGAGACTGTGTCTGCTCGTCGTCTGGTAATGAGCGCGTGAGGGATGGAAAGCTCTCCAGAGCCCGTGTCCTTCTAGCACAATCCATTATTTCACCAAATTGCATCATTGGGACTTTGTTTTTTAGCCCCCACGGTGCGTTTACTCCCCTCCCGAAAGGAGGGGAACTGGAAGCCCTGTGCCACATAAATATTGCAATGAAATAAAAGGTGACCCTTCAATGACTCCCCTCCCGAAAGGAGGGGAACTGGAAGCACTGTGCCACACAAATATTGCAATGAAATAAAAGGGTTGTCCTGTTTCTGAGCGGTGTTGCAGCATGGGGTAGGGGAGGACTTCGTAGAGTAGGGTAGATGGTTGGACTCGATGATCCCAAGGGTCTCTTCCAACCTAGACAATTCTATGATTCTATGGCCTTCTGCAACGGAAAGGATGATTTTTACAAGTCCCTCACCCACAAAACTCAACAGAGCAGGTGTTAATGTGTGGGTCGCAGGGGTGTAGAGCAGCAAACGGCTTCAGGTGCAGCGTGGCAGCCTGTCAGCATTGGAGGGAAAGGCAAGTTTTGTGGTTTTTTTTAAAAAGGAGATTAACCAGGAAATCCCTGAAAGGTAATAGAGGTGGAGGGGGGGGTGTGTGTGAACCTGCATCCATTTATTTTATCTGCTGTCGAAGTTAAATCTGGTGACTTCTTTAAATGTTAAAAAAAGAGTTAAAGCACAGCCGATGCAAGATCCCGCAAGTGATATGAGATGTCAAAAGGGGCTTTTTTTTTTTCTTTTTATAACGAAGATGCGTTGGCATCAGCGGCGTCGATACCCGCGGTTTCCCCGGTGCGGGTGTGGGTGCGGGGGCGCGGCCGCGGGGGGGCGCTGCAGGCCCGGCAATGCCGCTCCCCGCTTCGCCCGGCACCCGCCCCCGCCAACCGGAGAAAGTCGTTAAACCAATTAACTCCTCTCCCATAAGCTACTTTTGCGGCCTTTAGGGAGGGGAGCCTGCCGCCCGTGCTGCCGCAGGAAGGTTGTTTATCCCCTAATAATGATATTTTACCCCTTGACTTTCCCGGTCCATCTGCCCAATTCACATTTTTTTATTTTGTATTCCTCCTTCATCTTGCCTTTCTCTTTGATCTCGTTAACATGCTTTTTATTTATTCATTTATTTATTTTTTTCTTAGTTAAAAGGCAAGTGCGGGGGAGCGGTAGTCATTAGCATTTGGAGTGCTTTAACACTTCCCAGGGAAGGCTGCGTGTTACCGTCACCAAAAAACACTGGAGTGCTTTAACACTTCCCAGGGAAGGCTATGGTTACCGTCACCAAACATTGAAGGGCAGGGAGCTCTGGAGAGGGTTGAGTCTGTTTTAAGGGATATGAAATGTTTTCCTCTTCTCAGGGATTTGGCAGTACCTGGTCCGTGGGGCCACGTGCTCGAGGGCCGAGCTGCTTTTCAGGTAGAGTCTGTGATCTCAGATGTTTGCTGTTAAATCTCAGTCTGATCATAGGGAGAGAACTAGATCCAGCTCCTCGAGTATGGCGACACCTCGCTGTATCTGTTGTTCCTTTAGCCACTGTTTCGGACTCCTCTTGCTCATCGTTTAATACAGTGCACTGTTAATTGTTGTCACTGCCTTGCTTTTCTGTCCTTTTCCATTAAATCGCCCAAGGAAGGTGATGGCAGTGAAATCTGATGGTGATTAAATCTTCTGTAAATGATCAATTATGGAACAGGAGCATCTCTTTTATTGGACGACTCGGATCTTGATCTCTTCTATTTGCTGAATCACTGACCCTGACCTTATTCCTGCTGCTGCATCCCGTTGCCAGTAGACTAAGGGAAGTGATCCTGCCCTTGTATTTGGTGCTGATGGGGCCACAGCTGGAGTACTGTGTCCAGTTCTGAGCTCCACAGTATGACAAACACATGGACATGCTGGAAGGAGCCCAGCAAAGGGCCACGAAGATGATTAAGGGCCTGGAGGGTCTCTCCTGTGAGGAAAGGCTGGGAGAGCTGGGACTGTTGAGCCTGGAGAAGATTCAGGAGGAACTCACCAATGTATTCAAGTGCCTGAAGGGAGAGTGTGAAGAAGACCAGGCTAGGCTCTTCTCAATGATGCCCAGTAACAGGACAGGAGGCAGTGGACACAAACTGAAACACAACTGAACATAAGGAGACACTTTTTCACTATGAGGGTGACCAAACACTAGAATGGTGTGCCCAGAGAGGTTTTGGAGTCTCTCACCAGATATTAAAAAGCTGCCTGGATGTGCTCCTGGGCAGTCCGAGCTAAGTGAACCTGCTTGAGCAGGGGGGGTGGACGAGATGATCTCCAGAGGTTCCTCCCAACCTCAGCCATTCTGTGATGCTCTTACTGTCTCTGTGTGTTTAAAGTCTCTTTCTGAAGTTGCTGCCTATGTCCCCCATCTATTACCCTAATTCTTATGGTAAAAGTAGCTTTATTCTGTCAAACTACTAAATGTTACATGTTTCAGGAATGCATCCCTGGTAGATACTGGGGTATGGCTGCAGTTTCTTTTGGTCCTACGTTGCTAACTAGTACTGAGGACACCAAAGTTGAGTGCAATGTGGTGTGGTCTGATTGAAAAGCTGTGTCACTAGTTAACAGCAGTAGCCCCTCTTGGGAGTTTACAAACCGGTTCCTTCCTCCATGATCTTTAAATATTAAGCATTAAAATTTTGTCAGCCAGCCTACTATGATCAATTTGGCAATGAGCATGAGTCTTATGTCTGAACCATCTGCTATCTCTTCCGCGGTTTTCAGACCTAGCAGAGATGTTCCTCCTTTGTTGCAGACAGATTGGGCCTTGTGGAGTAAAGCTTTATTAAAAGCAATGGGTCTTAGCAGCTCTGCAGTATATAACAAATCTTGGG